TCAAGATGATGGACGCTGATGTGAAACTAATGATGGTTGATGAGTGAATAAACACAAGTTCTCTGAGGAAGAGACTCATAAAGACAAGGGTTCAGATCTGACATATATCTTGTTTTATTGAATCAGCTCACACACAGGTCAGCAGTCCAACATCAGTTCCAGCAAGTGTTCAGACATGGAGATCTGTGGCTCTGTGGTAAGAGCGCTGCCCCACGGCTTCAGGGGTTGCTGGTTCAAGGCCAGCCAGAACTCTGCGATATGAGTGAATGGTGAGTGAGTGTGAGGCGCGCCTGAAGAAGGGGGGATACCAGTTCGGTCTCCCCCTGGAGCTTCCGGAGCCGTGTCCAGCAGGGGTTATACTTTACAGCCTGGCAAAAAATTTAAAATGAACTGTATAAAAATTCTGGACCTTCGTCCCTTCCCCACCCGTTTCGGTTACCATCATTTACTTTGTAGAGGAGTGACCCTTCACAAAGCAAATGATGGTAACCGACATGTGGAACAGACAAACACACAACCAATCACACACATGATGTACATCACCTGTGCAGCAGCAGATGATCATCATCAGTACAGTCAGTGTCTGTCCACTCGTCTCTGCTTCTGTTCAACAGGCTTACAGTCCACAACACTTCACTGATCCTGTAGAGTCGACACACAAACAAACACATTATTACACACGCTGAATATCTGATCTAACAATAGACAAATAGACAAATATTACATATGTATCAAATATTGCGCCCTCCTGTGGAGATTTCTCTGAACTACACTTTTGCAAATCTTGAATCTACTGAATTTAAAATATTCGCCCTCTTGTGGGGATTTTTGTGGACTGCACTGCTGCTGCTCTAAAATAAGGAAAGTTTCTCCCTCCTGTGGAGATATTTCTGAATTACATCTTTTGCAGTTCAGTTGATTTGAAAGATTGTGCTGATGTTTTTCCTGAACTTCAGCACAGCAAATGTAAAGCACTGAGATTTCACCTTCCTGTGGCGCAGCTGTAGTTCTGTGTATTTTCCTCCACTGATGCTGACAACCAGAAACATTTAATGTGTAAAAGGAAGCAGAAAGTCTTGAGGTCTAAACTAAAAAAGTAATTATTATTAAATACAGACTTATCATCAAATGCTAAATATCACACAGTTTTTATGGAGATCTTCAAATGACAGAGAGGCTTGAGTAAACTGAGGTCATCGTGAGCACAGTTCTGCTTCCTGTTGAAGCGAGTCGTTTTCTGTCTTCATCTGTTTCAGGAAAGATCAAAATCTGTTCTTGTTGACTTTATTATTATGATTATTTGAATCAGTTTTTAATCTTTGACATGATTTTGATCAGTGACTGAAGTTAAACATGACCTAATGTAGTGATGTGTTCAGCTGAAGCGTCTGTGTCTGTCAAATCTCTATTTTCAGGATCTGGGTAATTCTTCAACTACGAGCACTTTTATGTCCTTTGATCAAATATCCAAACATATATATAATTTTGTTCAAATTCCTCTTTCTTTGTCAAACTAACAATAAAACCAACTTAAAAAAATGTAAAATCAAAACAAAATGAAGGTAAATAAGAGTGTTTTGTATATATGAAAGGCTTGTATCAATTCAAAGTTAATCGGTGAAGCTATTTTTCATTATTTTCACAATAAACTGTTGAAATGTCATTTCCATCACCACACACATTATTAAAAACATTTAAAAAGTTCTCATCACACATTAAAGTGTATTCACAATGTATGAGTTCATGCTCTATTTAATATACAAATTCAGTTTATTTATTTTCTAATAAGCTCTTAACCAAATTAACATTAAGTTTTAGAGTGTGACAGGTGTACAATCCAGCACACAACTAATTTATTTCACTGACAAATGTATAATTATTATTGATATTGTGGAAATATTTGGTTAAACTAGATACAAAAATGATCTTAGACAATGTTTGACTGCCATCATTTATGTCATTTAGAAATATAAGCAGTATATTGAGATGTGCTGGAATTGACATTTGTTCAGTTCACGATGGAGAAAATGTTTCTCTTCTTATCTGAGTTTGTCCTCTTACAGATCTTAAAACTAGACAAAGTGTTTAAACTTATGAGGCTATGTTACGTTAATTTTGAACAAGTTTTTTTACTCAACTTCACAAGGCTAAAAGTGCCCGTAGTTGAAGAATGGCCCATCTACCAAGCCAGGTCAGAGGTCATGGAGAGCTCTCGAGGGGAACTGGATTCCTGGTGGATTAAAACAACTGATTCCTGAGTTTTTCTATTTTATGTGTAAATTCTCTGTAAAGTAATTTTCTTTGTATGCAGGAGAGATTTTCTGTTTTAGTGTAAGGCAGGGAGATCGGCCAGCGAACTCAATGCCAGTGTGAAGCCCTCCTGCCACAGAACCACAAACTATCTCCAGTAAATTATCTTAATTTCATTGAATCTGCGGCTCAGAGTCTTCTCTTGATCTGACACAGCAGTCGTTTTGGTCTCAACTCTTCATTTCCCTCCTAACAATGTCAAAATAATTATTAAAGCATATACTCAATCATCTAATCATTCATGGGTCATTATTTGTGCTCACTTTATATTGAACTTCAGCACAAATGCTTGATTAACAATGTGGAAATATCAAACCAATGCGAATGTAATATGAAACAATTTCCAGAAGCTGATGATGACAGACTTGACATCAAATATTGATCAATTAAATGCTAAACATGAATATTGAACCTCCAAGCTTGTGACTTTCTCACCATGATGTTCTTCACTCCAGATGATCATTTAGCCTGTAGGTAATTAATGCGCCACTCATCAATAAAGACACATAGAACTTGTTTGATGAGCTCTTATATTGGGGATGCAGAATGTTTTCACTGCTTACAGATTTAATTGACGCAGACACAAATGATAATTTTACCAACAAAAATACGAACACATTTCCTTTACTAAATGCCTTATAAAGATATAAAGATGACTTTCTGCTTTATTTTTAATCCTATATTGTATTAAACTGTTCATTAAATTTTAAATTATTGGTATGACCACTAGAGGGCATCAGCTCTTTTAGTCTGAACACCTTTGACAACAGCGACACCAGATCAGCACAGGTACACCGTTTTACTGGCGTCAAGTTGAGCTCCAGCAGATGACAGCTCAGTGACAGACTCATAATTTCAGTCAACAGCAGATATTACAGCCCGACAGCGAAGAAAAGCCACACCAAGTGCAGAAATAGAGAGTAACGCGACTCACCTGTAAGGGACTTTGCTTGGTTGGTTTAGTTTGTAGTGATGTTGTTGTAGTGTTTGTGTTCAGTCATTGCTCTCTCTCTCTCTCTCTCTCCTCTGCAGCAGTGAAGATACACACGTGTGTCTGTTGTGTTTCTGCTGCAGATCTTTGAGCTGCGCTCAACAGCTGACGCTCCTCCACACGCTCCTCCACATCCAGGCGGATTCACAGCTCCAGGAAAGGTATTTATGAGCTCATATTTCCAGTAGAGAGTCCAGAAAGTGTGTTTGTTGTGCTGCTGCTCTGTCGCGTGTTTGTTGGGGGAGGGACTTTCTGTGGAGAGCATGTGATTGGCCAGATTTGGTGTAGAGTCATCAGTACAGTATGAGGAGACTTTAGAAGTAAATGATGATATTTTCCAGTGTTTAATTGTGTTTAGTGACATTTAAAGCCCCACAAGCAGCTGTAAGATAATTTGAAACATGTTCATGTGTCTGATTGAAGAATAAGCATGTTTTCCACATTTTGAATAGTGAAATATAATAATATATTCGCATATGATGCAGTTTACATTTATTTAAAATAATTTACATTTGATATGAATTATTTGTGTTTATTTAGTTTTTTTTTTCAAAATGTGCAGAATGTGGTTATCCTCCCATTGGAGAAAGAAATGTGGGTTTCTGTGTGTGGTGATGGTGTAGTGGTCAGAGCACACATCATGACATCTGCAGCTATCACAGCATACTTGGGTTCAAATCCAAGCACTACTGCTGCTTTTTACTGCTGAGATAATCAGAAAAACAACAAAGTAATTTTATGTGTGTGTTCCCGCTCTAATTACCTTGCGTTGGTGTGAGCCAGACATCGAGGGGGGTTTCGTACCCAGGCCTCTGTCATTACCTCGTCCACCGCAACCATGTGTTCTTCCACTAGCCCATCATGGCTTTCAGTCTGTCAGCTGCTGTTTGGGCCACACTGTCTGATTGAATCCCATCAACCGAAAGTAAAGTAAGCAATAGTGGGATTTGAACCCATGTCTCCTGTATGGCAGGCAAAGGCTCATCCACTGAACCACAGGGCTTGACATCAGGCAGTAGTTGTTTTGTGAGCCAAATTACAAAGAAACATAGGGTGAACCCTGGTCATGATGAAAACAGTGATAAAGCCTCATTCAGACACATTGTTCACCATCTAGACTCAGTGGCTCAAGTCATAAACTATTGATCTTTAATCAAGGAGACCCGGGTTCAAACCTCACTATGGCTAATGTCCATCTTGATCTCATTATACTGACCAGGAGCCCCTGATGATGGAACGAAACCCATGATGGGTGAATAAACACAAGTTCTCTGAGGAAGAGACTCATAAAGACAAGAGTTCAAATCTGACTTGTATCTCGATCTAGCAGAAATGAGATTCGATCCTTCACACTTCTAAATAGCAGGCGAACGCTCATCCTTTGAGCCACAGGGTTTGACATTTGGCAGCAGGTTTTTCGTGGCCCAAATTACAAAGAAATATGTGTCAAACCTTGGTCATGATGGGAATAGTGATAAAGCCCCAATCTGACACCTCCTTTACTGTCCAGACTCAGTGGCTCAGGTAATAAAGTGTTGAGCTTTAATCTAGGAGACCCGGGTTCAAACCTCACCATGGCTAATGTCCCACACAATTCATTATGTTCACCAAGATGATGGACGCTGATGTGAAACTAATGATGGTTGATGAGTGAATAAACACAAGTTCTCTGAGGAAGAGACTCATAAAGACAAGGGTTCAGATCTGACATATATATTGTTTTATTGAATCAGCTCACACACAGGTCAGCAGTCCAACATCAGTTCCAGCAAGTGTTCAGACATGGAGATCTGTGGCTCTGTGGTAAGAGCGCTGCCCCACGGCTTCAGGGGTTGCTGGTTCAAGGCCAGCCAGAACTCTGCGATATGAGTGAATGGTGAGTGAGTGTGAGGCGCGCCTGAAGAAGGGGGGATACCAGTTCGGTCTCCCCCTGGAGCTTCCGGAGCCGTGTCCAGCAGGGGTTATACTTTACAGCCTGGCAAAAAAATTTAAAATGAACTGTATAAAAATTCTGGACCTTCGTCCCTTCCCCACCCGTTTCGGTTACCATCATTTACTTTGTAGAGGAGTGACCCTCCACAAAGCAAATGATGGTAACCGACATGTGGAACAGACACACACATGATGTACATCACCTGTGCAGCAGCAGATGATCATCATCAGTACAGTCAGTGTCTGTCCACTCGTCTCTGCTTCTGTTCAACAGGCTTACAGTCCACAACACTTCACTGATCCTGTAGAGTCGACACACAAATCAACACATTACTACACACACTGAATATCTGATCTAACAATAGACAAATAGACAAATATTACATATGTATCAAATATTGCGCCCTCCTGTGGAGATTTCTCTGAACTACACTTTTGCAAATCTTGAATCTACTGAATTTAAAATATTCGCCCTCTTGTGGGGATTTTTGTGGACTGCACTGCTGCCGCTCTAAAATAATAAAGGTTTCTCCCTCCTGTGGAGATATTTCTGAATTACACCACTGCGAACTTGATGAATTCTAAATGTTTGCTCTCATGTGGTGATTTTGGTGAATGACACCACTGCAAATCTAATAGTGTGAATTTAAACATGTCGCCCTCCTGTGGAGATATTTCTGAATTACACTTTTGCAGATCCGTTGATTTGAAAGATTGTGCTGATGTTTTTCCTGAACTTCAGCACAGCAAATGTAAAGCACTGAGATTTCACCTTCCTGTGGCGCAGCTGTAGTTCTGTGTATTTTCCTCCACTGATGCTGACAACAAGAAACATTTTAATGTGTAAAAGGAAGCAGAAAGTCTTGAGGTCTAAACTAAAAAAGTAATTATTATTAAATAGAGACTTATCATCAAATGCTAAATATCACACAGTTTTTATGGAGATCTTCAAATGACAGAGAGGCTTGAGTTAAACTGAGGTCATCGTGAGCACAGTTCTGCTTCCTGTTGAAGCGAGTCGTTTTCTGTCTTCATCTGTTTCAGGAAAGATCAAAATCTGTTCTTGTTGACTTTATTATTATGATTATTTGAATCAGTTTTTAATCTTTGACATGATTTTGATCAGTGACTGAAGTTAAACATGACCTAATGTAGTGATGTGTTCAGCTGAAGCGTCTGTGTCTGTTAAATCTCTATTTTCAGGATCTGGGTAATTCTTCAACTACGAGCACTTTTATGTCCTTTGATCAAATATCCAAACATATATATAATTTTGTTCAAATTCCTCTTTCTTTGTCAAACTAACAATAAAACCAACTTAAAAAAATGTAAAATCAAAACAAAATGAGGGTAAATAAGAGTGTTTTGTATATATGAAAGGCTTGTATCAATTCAAAGTTAATCGGTGAAGCTATTTTTCATTATTTTCACAATAAACTGTTGAAATGTCATTTCCATCACCACACACATTATTAAAAACATTTAAAAAGTTCTCATCACACATTAAAGTGTATTCACAATGTATGAGTTCATGCTCTATTTAATATACAAATTCAGTTTATTTATTTTCTAATAAGCTCTTAACCAAATTAATATTAAGTTTTAGAGTGTGACAGGTGTACAATTCAGCACACAACTAATTTATTTCACTGACAAATATATAATTATTATCGATATTGTGGAAAGATTTGGTTAAACTAGATACAAAAATGATGTTAGACAATGTTTGACTGCCATCATTTATGTCATTTAGAAATATAAGCAGTATATTGAGATGTGCTGGAATTGACATTTGTTCAGTTCATGATGGAGAAAATGTTTCTCTTCTTATCTGAGTTTGTCCTCTTACAGATCTTAAAACTAGACAAAGTGTTTAAACTTATGAGGCTATGTTACGTTAATTTTGAACAAGTTTTTTTACTCAACTTCACAAGGCTAAAAGTGCCCGTAGTTGAAGAATGGCCCATCTACCCAGCCAGGTCAGAGGTCATGGAGAGCTCTCGAGGGGAACTGGATTCCTGGTGGATTGAAAACAACTGATTCCTGAGTTTTTCTATTTTATGTTTAAATTCTCTGTTAAGTAATTTTCTTTGTATGCAGGAGAGATTTTCTGTTTTAGTGTAAGGCAGGGAGAACAGCCAGCGAACTCAATGCCAGTGTGAAGCCCTCCTGCCACAGAACCACAAACTATCTCCAGTAAATTATTTTAATTTCATTGAATCTGCGGCTCAGAATCTTCTCTTGATCTGACACAGCAGTCGTTTTGGTCTCAACTGTTCATTTCCCTCCTAACAATGTCAAAATAATTATTAAAGCATATACTCAATCATCTAATCATTCATGGGTCATTATTTGTGCTCACTTTATATTGAACTTCAGCACAAATGCTTGATTAACAATGTGGAAATATCAAACTAATACGAATGTAATGTGAAACAATTTCCAGAAGCTGATGATGACAGACTTGACATCAAATATTGATCAATTAAATGCTAAACATGAATATTGAACCTCCAAGCTTGTGACTTTCTCACCATGATGTTCTTCACTCCAGATGATCATTTAGCCTGTAGGTAATTAATGCGCCACTCATCAATAAAGACACATAGAACTTGTTTGACGAGCTCTTATATTGGGGATGCAGAATGTTTTCATTGCTTACATATTTAATTGATGCAGACACAAATGATAATTTTACCAACAAAAATACGAACACATTTCCTTCACTAAATGCCTTATAAAGATATAAAGATGACTTTCTGCTTTTGTAAAATCCTATATTGTATTAAACTGTTCATTGAGTTTTAAATTATAAGTACGACCACTAGAGGGCATCAGCTCTTTTAGCCTGAACACCTTTGACAACAGCGACACCAGATCAGCACAGGTACACCGTTTTACTGGCATCAAGTTGAGCTCCAGTAGCAGATGACAGCTCAGTGACAGACTCATAATGTCAGTCAACAGCAGATATTACAGCCCGACAGCGAAGAAAAGCCACACCAAGTGCAGAAATGGAGAGTAACTCGACTCACCTGTAAGGGACTTTGCTTCGTTGGTTTAGTTTGTAGTGATGTTGTTGTAGTGTTTGTGTTCAGTCATTGCTCTCTCTCTCTCTCTCCTCTGCAGCAGTGAAGATACACACGTGTGTCTGTTGTGTTTCTGCTGCAGATCTTTGAGCTGCGCTCAACAGCTGACGCTCCTCCACACGCTCCTCCACATCCAGGCGGATTCACAGCTCCAGGAAAGGTATTTATGAGCTCATATTTCCAGTAGAGAGTCCAGAAAGTGTGTTTGTTGTGCTGCTGCTCTGTCGCGTGTTTGTTGGGGGAGGGACTTTCTGTGGAGAGCATGTGATTGGCCAGATTTGGTGTAGAGTCATCAGTACAGTATGAGGAGACTTTAGAAGTAAATGATGATATTTTCCAGTGTTTAATTGTGTTTAGTGACATTTAAAGCCCCACAAGCAGCTGTAAGATAATTTGAAACATGTTCATGTGTCTGATTGAAGAATAAGCATGTTTTTCACATTTTGAATAGTGAAATATAATAATATATTCGCATATGATGCAGTTTACATTTATTTAAAATAATTTACATTTGATATTAATTATTTGTGTTTATTTAGTTTTTTTTTTCAAAATGTGTAGAATGTGGTTATCCTGCCATTGGAGAAAGAAATGTGGGTTGATGTGTGTGGTGATGGTGTAGTGGTCAGAGCACACAGCAGGACATCTGAAGCTGTCACAGCACACCTGGGTTCAAATCCAAGCACTGCTGCTGCTTTTTACTGCTGAGATAATCAGAAAAAAACAAAGTATTGTAATGTTTGTGTTCCCCCGCCTCCTAATTTCCTTGCTATTTGTGCTTTCGTTGGTGTGAGCCACACATCGAGGTGAGTTTCATACCCAGGCCTCTGCCGTAACCTTGTCCACCGCAACCACATGTTCATCCACTAGCCCATCACGGCTTTCATGCTCCTTGGGCCACTTTGTCTGACTGAATCCCAGCAAGTGACAGTAAAGTAAGCAATAGTTGGGTTTGAACCCATGTCTTCTGTATGACAGTCTAAGGCTTATCCACTGAGCCATGGGGCTTGACATCTGGTGATGGTTGTTTTGTGAGCCAAATTAGAAAGAAATATTTGTCATACTTTGGTCATGATGAAAACAGTGATAAAGCCTCATTCTGACACGAGGTTAACTGTCTGGACTCAGTGGCTCAGTTCATAAAGTGTTGATCTTTAATCAAAGAGACCCGGGTTCAAACCTCACTTTGGCTGATGTCCATCTTGACATCATTATGTTCATCAACAGCATCCGAACAGTTCAAACAGAGCAGTATGTGAACCCAAAGATGAGTGATTAAACCACAAGTTCTCTGAGGAAGAGACTCATAAAGAGAGATGCGGGATGCGATCCTTCATACGTCTGTATGGCAGGCGAACACTCATCCACTGAGCCACTGGGTTTGACATTTGGTGACAGGTTTTCCGTAGGCCAAATTACAAAGAAATTTGCCAAACCATGGTCGTGGTGAAATTAGTGATAAAGCCCCATTCAGATACCTTCTTCACTGTCTAGACTCAGTGGCTCAAGTCATAAAGTGTGGAGCCTTAAACAAGGAGACCCGGGTTCAAACCTCACCATGACTAATGTTCAGCTGAGCTCATTTTATTCACCAAGAGCTCATGATCACTAGACTTTAAAGTAGAAAGTCACAGTGTTGCTGAGATGGAGTCATGGGTTTAAATCCCACTTCTGTCAACCTCGATGCTGACGTTACAGTGTTTTCATACAACACAGACACTCAACTTATGAACAGTAAGGTGAAATTAAGTGGATGAGTGAATAAACACAAGTTCTCTGAGGAAGAGACTCATAAAGACAAGAGTTCAATTTTGACATATATTGTTTTATTGAAACAGGTCAGCAGTGACATCAATTCCAGCAGGCATCCAGACAGGAGATCAGTGGCTCTGTGGTAAGATCGCTGCCCCATGACTTTAATGGTTGCTGGATCGATCCCAGCCGGATCTTTGCAATATGAGTGCACAGTGAGTGAGTTGTGCCTGGAGAGGTGGGGATACCAGTTCGGTCTCCCCCTGGAGCTTCCGGAGCCATGTCCAGCAGGGGTTATACTTCATTACTGCTGGAAAAAAATAAAATGTATATATAATGAAAATCTTTGGACCTTCCTCACCTGTTTCGTTTACCATCATTTGCTTTCTAGAGGAGTGACCCTCCACAAAGTAACTGATGGTAACCAACGTAATTAGGGTAAGACAACACACAATCACACACATGATCTACATCACCTGTGCAGCAGCAGATGATCATCATCAGTACAGTCAGTGTTTGTCCACTCGTCTCTGCTTCTGCTCAACAGGCTTACAGTCCACAACACTTCACTGATCCTGTAGAGTCGACACACAAATCAACACATTATTACACACGCTGAATATCTGATCTAACAATAGACAAATAGACAAATATTACATATGTATCAAATATTGCGCCCTCCTGTGGAGATATTTCTGAATGACACATTTGCAAATCTGATGAGTTTAAAATGTTCGCCCTCGTGTGGTGATTTTAGTAAATGACACCTCTGCAAATCTAATTAAATGAATTAAAAGATTTTGCCCTCCTGTGGAAATGTTTCTGAATTACACCTTTGCAAAAATAACGAGTTAAAGTTATTCACCCCCTTGTGGCGATTTTTGTGAACTGGTTTGTTTCCATTTTGAAATAATCAATTTAAAACATTCGCCCTCCAGTGGTGATGTTTCTGAATAACGCCTTCGCAAATGTATTGAATTTAAAACATTTGACCTCCTGAACTGCAATTCTGCAATGCTAAAAGTTTCTCCCTCATGTGGAGATTTTAGTGAATTACACCAACTGCATGTTTGTAAAATTTTACAATTACATTTAGAGTTTCCGGGCTTCACGGAAGTCTTTGCATTTCTGACTTTTAGATTCAAGGCCTAGAAAGTACTCATAAACAAACATAGGTCTTTAAACGTACTTGAATTAAAGATAAAATTAAATTAGCTTTTGGTGTTATTTCAACAAATGTCATACTGCTGTCAAAAACAGACTTAAAAAAGAAGAAATTCACAATCTTATACAAGAACTACGACAAATAGCTCACACTGTATACATTTTAGTATACTACCAGATTCAAATTGAACATTCATTTTGTTTTCGGCTTAGTCCCTTTATTAATGAGGGGTCACCACAGTGTAATGAACCGCCAACTTATCCAGCATATGCTTTACACAGTGAATGTCCTTCCAGCAGCAACCCATCACTGGGAAACATCCACAAACACTCATTAACACACATACACTACGGTCATTCTTAGCATGCCCAATTCACCTATACCACATCTCTTTGGACTTGTAGGGGAAACTGGAGCACCCGGAGGAAACCAACATGTGCAAACTCCACACAGAAATGCCAACTGACCCAGCCAAGGCTCGAACCAGCGACCTTCTTGCTGTGAGGTGAATGTGCTATCCACACCGCCCCTTGAATGAGAGGGGTCTGGATGCAGACCTGGTGCAGTGCAATCTGAGCTGCATCCAATGCTTTTTAATGTGCTCACCTAACCCCACCCGTCACAGTGACGTCACTCACTCCATTGAGTGCATTGTGTATAACATTGCATCGCCGAGTGATGCAATCTCAGCTTGCATCATGAAGGCTGCATCCAGATACTACTGCCTCGAATTGAACAACTTTTATAAACATTCTTTGAACACGACTTAAAGATGCACACGAACATTCAGATCATCATTACTCTGATATTTTTAATGTAAATAATGTGTGCAAACGTAAATAGTGTTGTGACAAATGCACCAAAGCCACTGAGAAAAAACTTTTAAGTACTATAAAGGTAAAGTTGGTTTTATATTCGCACATTCAGACTTTCCCCTTAATGTTATAATTTCATGAAAGTATTTTTTGCAAACTCTAAATAAAGAAATCATATTAGGAGCCAATGACAATCAAATAAACAGTGTTAATGTTGTTTTCAAGTCATACTTGCATGCTAATTCGGATCGAATATTCAAAGTAGCATGGTAAACAATATAGAGACTTCTAAATGAACAAATGTCTGAATATAAAACCAACTTTGCCTCTATTAAAGTACTTACAGTAGCCCACCAGTATTTTTAGAAGGTCTATTACATAGGATTTTTGATTTGGAGAGAGTTAAAATGCCCAGTTGTTTAGAGCAACTAAACCACGTTGAGTAAAATGTGCATACCTCTATATTATATAATATTATTTATAAAACATTGAGCTGAGAAGCGGCCCATATATCCTTATGAGAAAACTGAAATAATCGAAAGGCGCAGTTCTCCATCCGCTCCACGAGGCGGCATCAGCGAGCTGCGCTGTCAGATTGACGTATTGACAGAATTTGATTACATTCATGCTGTTTTACCGGCGTAAAGTTGAGCTCCAGCAGATGACAGCTTAGTAACAGCCTCATAATGTCAGTCAACAGCACATATTACAACCCGACAGCGAACACAAGGTGCTCTAACGTGCAGAAACGAAGAGTAACGCGACTCACCTGTGACTTTCTTTCGGCGTGAAGAAGCGCTGGTGTGTGAAGTCCTGAGAGTAATGTAGTAAGTTTGTAGTGATGTTGTTGCAGTGTTTGTGTTCATTCATTGCTCTCTCGCTCTCCTCTGCAGCTGAATGACAGTGAGGGCGGATCTGCAGCAGCGAAGACACTCGTGTGTCTGTTGTGTTTCAGCTGCACAGCTTTCACCTGACACCTTTGTCCACATCCAGGCGGATTCAAAGCATCAGGAAAGGTATTTAGGAGCTCATATTACCAGAAGAGAGTCCAGAAGATGTGTTTGTTGTGCTGCCGGTCTGTCACATGTTGTGTTGGGGGAGGGTCTTGCTCTAGAAAGCATTTGATTGGACAGATTTGGTGTAGTGCAGGATGAGTCATCATCATTTTTATTCTGTGAAATAATACACAACTGTGTGAAGAAGACAATATTTATTTCCTAATATTGCTTTCTTGCCTTTGCAAGAACCAGTAATGATTTTTGGAACCAGAGAAATCTGTCAGGTTTGAAATGAAATATGTTCTGAAAATGAATATTAATAATAATAATAATAAATTATAATTATAAATAAATAATACTTATATAATAACTGACTAAAGTTGTATTTTTCCTAATAATGTATTTTTTTCAAAGTGTGTACAAAGTGAATTTCCTTAAATGAAAGAAACAAACACTCATTTGTGTGTCTGATAATGGTGTAGTGGTCAAAGCATGAAGCCTGAAATCCATCACCGCGTACCTGGGTTCAAATCCAATCTCAGCTATTACTTTTTACTGCTAATGCAATTTCTAGGGTTTTTTATTATTATTTATTTCAGTTTGTGCGTGATGCCTTCCTTGATATATTAATATAAATAAATTAAACACTTTCTTACATGCAAATTAAATATCCATCTTCAGTATCATGACTTTTATTGATTGGACAAAGGAGCAGAAACAGTTTATTGATGAGTTTAGCACAGAACAGTACTTTTGACATGTTATATAAACAGACAAAAGTGGAACTTTCAGATTAAGATGCGATGGTTTTTTACAGCACTAAACTACATGATACTGAAATGGTTTTGTTCCTGAGACTGAAACCTCCATCAAGACATTATAAAAAGGCAAGCTTTGGCCAGTGAAGAGAAAAGCGTTGTGGATGTGTCCGAGGACTGATATGCTGGAGAATAGGAAAGAAGGCAGAGTTCTAGCCATCGATTTTCAGATCCTTGGCCACCAGCATTGCAGTGACTGGATGCAGTGATCCACGGATCTCCTTAAAAGTCTTCACAGCTTCATCACTGTACTTGGAGAAGTTGTACACTTCCCTAAAACAACAGAGACAGAGAGATTAGAGGAGGTCAGGATGAAGACAAGAGGAGATTTGGACATGTAAAAACAGAAGTGCGACCGGTCGGAGTTAAAGAAATGTTTGATTGCTTGGTGCAGCGAGGAAATTACACAAAACCATGAAACATCCTGTTTTCTTTGTTTACCCATAAAGTGACACCATTTTGTGGTGATTTCTCAGTAGGGTTGTTGCAATACACTCATGGCTTGGTTTAGTATGCATTTCAATTCTGAACTCGTTATTTGACTTGGGCTGCATTTACACTGCAGATCTTGATGCTCAAATCTGATTTTTTTGATGACCTGCGTACATCTTCTTTTAAAGTGACTCATATACGATTGTCTGCATTTACACAGCACACGGACCAGGAAAAAAAAAGAGCTGGCACTAACTGGCTTATAATGGGGTATATGCCGAAGCATGCTAATAGGACTTTTAATTTGCCATTAACCTGGGTTAAGCGCTTCCGGCAAATTGAATGCCAATGCAAAATCCGGTGCATTTAAGGTCTGTTTTCTTTAAAAAAAATCAGCGATCTCCACTAGCTGAGTGATATCCGAATTAAAGTGGGTCTCAGTTTGTACAAGAAGCACTGCATTAAATTACATTTCCCCCGCCATATCTTTATTATATGAGCATTTATTTTACCCCAGTATATTCAATGGAGCTTCTGCGTTAGCCTGCCGATTCTGACGGGCGCGTGCGAGTAAACAACTTTGTCTCGTTTTACGCTTGAGCAACTAAATAAATGCTAAAGTTTATTTAACTGAGTGTATTTTAATGACATTACAACATCGATGCTGTATAAGGAACCGTATAAAATGAGAAAAAGTTTACAATGACAGGTCACCGGAAGTGTATCAGCATGGGAACAGCACTAGCTCGGCATATACCCTATAAAAGAGCGATCTTTTCTCCATTCCTGTATTTAATCTGTTCGCAGTGTTTACATTTTTTAAAATTCTTTCCGACAAGTTGTTTAACTAAAAAGTTAATGACAGATAGTTCTCATTTTACCATCTTCTTTTAATGCATTTAGACCAGTAGGCATCTTAATGTAATGTCCATGGCGTGATTTATGCACGTGATGCATGCAATAGATTTATATTAGTTTCTGACAGGATCGGGTTTCAAAAGCACGTCAATAATCAAGCGCATGCTATTATCATCAGCTTAAGAAGTTTGTTATTTCAGATATAGACGCACGGCAAGCGCAAGCAAGAAAGCGATTTGAGGCTAGCTTGTAAAAAAGTAAGGGGCACAGGGTAAATCTGCTCTTCTTCCTGGCTTTGTGGGTGTTGATCAAGATGACGACAAGGTTTGTTAGAGCCCGGATCGACCATGGCTCATTATTATATGCGTATTTAATTACGCTGTAATCTGTAATACGCTGCAATTACGCTGTGTGTGCGTTTTAAACATGGCAGGTCTTTTGTTTTCATTCTGGTTTGTTGCGCAAGCGAATGACGCATCTCTGTAAATAAATAGTCGCTTATTAGAAGCAAAATTCTGAGGGAGGCATTATAGAGAATAAATTAGCCTTTTAAAGTTTAAAATTAAATATAAAGAATAGATTTATTTAAAACGAAATAAACAAATACAAAATATTTATAATAGAACTAAATGACCGTTTGTTAAAACATATAGTAAATTAAAATATTATCTAAAACATAATAATTAATATCTAATCTAGTTTTTAATATTGAAAAAAATGCATAATGATAATAATAGTAATATAAAAAACTAATTTGCATTTAAAAAGACTTTTTAAATGCATTTAAAAAGAAGAGTCATTTAGTCAGTAAAATTGATTTTACATTACAAAATTAAATATTAAAATAAATATAAAATAAATATAAATAATTTTTTATAAACACAAAAAATTAGAACATTTATTGTAGCATATTTATATATTGCATTATTATTATGCATGCATCATTATTTTCCTACATCTCAGATCAAATGAATGGACTTACTTAAAAAGTGGGCGAGTGAATTTCATTCTGCCCTGTTCGGTTGCCATTTTAAGTGCCAAAGGAACAGCTTCTTCCCATTGAGCCTTTACACAGATGCGCAACCACCTGCATGAATGCACAATTTAACAATTTTCATCATCATCAGATGCTGGAATATGCAATAATCAGATAGCTCAAAGAAATAGATCTGCTTATACCTGAAGCGAACCTCTGCATTTTTAATATTGTTCAGCTTGTAAACCTCCCCCATCTTCTTCACGTGGGACAGAGGAAGGGGATCCTGGTGCAAAGCAAAATGCAGAGGAAACAGACAGATCCATTTAAAGACTTACTTCTGCTTTCTTATTTCTTCAGCATCACACAGAAAGCATTGCATTAATGTTCTGAGGCATTGTCTTATAGCAAATTAATTCATTATCTAGAGTTATAACAATTTATTTAAAAAGTGCATTTAGTTTTTACATTATAAGATGAATAAAAATGCATTAAATATGCTTATTTTAATAATAATATAAATGTATGCAATTAATTATACAATAATAATATAATACAAATTTACATTTACAAATATTTTTCTTGAGTTGTCAGTAAATTAGATTTTTCATTTACAAATTAAATATTATAATAAATATTAATCAAATATAAATGTAGAATTTATATATTTATAAAATTAATTATTTATTTTAAACACTAAAAATGTGAAGAGTTCTTGTTTGTGCTATGCAGAATGTAGATTCATATTTGTATTCTAAATTAAATATGAAAATAAAAGCCATAAAATGAATTGCATTTAGTTTTTACTTCATAAAATGAATTATTAAAATAAATTAATTAAATCATTAAATATGTTAATAATAATAATAATAATAATAATAATAATAATAATAATAATAATTTAAGCATTAATTCAATAAAAATAAATAATACAAATATACATTTAAAAAGATTTGAGTAAGTAAATAATTTTTTTTAAATTTGAATATTAGAATACAAATTTAATATAAATAATTTACTTTTAAACACAAAAAATTGGAAAAGTTCTTGAGTTTGGGTTATGCAGTATGTGAATTAATATTTATATTATAAATTAAATATTAGAATACATGTAGGGTTGTAACGGTATGAATTTTTCACGTTATGATAATCGTCTAAAACAATACCACGGTTTGACTGTTTCGCGGTATACGGTATGTTACAAAATAATAGAACAGTGAAGCAAATTTGACTTTTTCCAAATAATATATTTTTAGTTACTATAAACAACACCACTTACAATGAACAAATAAAAATAAGAAAATAATAAATAATGTGTCAAAGTCCAAATAAAGTCCAAATAAACATGGTGCAAATCCTCAGTAAAAAATAGATATAAATATTTACTATACTATAAATAGTTACATAACGAAACTAGATTCAATATGGAACATCCTTAGGTTTTATGTGCCAGCATGGATATGGTTGTCTATCGATATGGATTTGGATATGGTTGTCTGCAATGCAGACAAACAGCTGCATCTTCATTTGCGTCTTTTGAAAACAGCAAGAGCAGCAGTTCGTCTTTGCTGTGTCACTGTTTTGTCATGTTTCTGTGCTGCTGTGCATGCAAAAGTACTTAGTATGAGAATTATTTCATGAAAAACTTTTTTTTTTTTGCGTTTTATTTAGCCGCGCATAAATGTATTCCTATCTCTAATTCCGTGTTGTTCAAAAAGCTTGGTCCACAAACAAAAGCGAAACCTATGCTTATTGGTTGTGATATAGCGAGTTTGAACCAATCTGGGCATGGAGGAGGGACAATGCATCAATGTATCATGTCTGATTTGTCCGGAGACACAGTGACGAGCGTTTCTTTGTCAAATCAGCGTTGTCAAATGTTGATGACGTAACCGCACTGATTCCGGAGCCTCTGAAAGTCCAGTATGTGATACAGCACTGGAAAGCTGAGATTCTCTTCTTTATGTCAATCTTTGAATTGTATGAATCGGATCAGCGGATCAAAAGTTATTAAACATTTAAGAGCAATACTTATTTTTAGCCGCGGGCGGCTGTCTCTGTCTTTAAGGGTTAAAACCGTTGATATGCAATTGTTCATGGTATGATAATCGTGCACGTTCAAATCGTGGTAAACCGTCATACCGGTATATTGTTACAACCCTAAATACATGTTAATTAATTTAAATGCTTTCTTTTAAACCCCAAATGTTCTTGTTTTTGCTATGCAGTATGTACATTTTTATTTGTATTCTAAATCAAATTTAACAATAAAAGCAATACAATAAATTAAATAAATATTAATTAGCAAAATTCCATTTAAAAAGGTGTAATACTGCCTGTATCTCTAAGATTTTAATAAATCATTCGAATGCAATTATATATATATATATATATATATATATATATATATATATATATATATATATATATATATATATATATAAATTAAATATGGATTAAATAACATGAAAGAGTACAAGTAAATAGGTGTACATATAAATTAAAATGGGAAGAGTTCTTGCTTGTGCTATATATGTTGCACAATATTGTCAAAATATTTTTTTAAACGACATAAAAGCGCATACATTTACTGTACATTCAAAATGAGAACAGTTCTTGAGCTCATGCACAACTAATTCAGTACCTCTTGGAGCAGCAAAGCCATAAACTCAATAAGCTGAGGCGAGTTCAATTGCTTCACATCTGCCTCAGTGAAACTTGCGAGGTCAGCTTCCTTTGCCTAAAAATATACAGAGGAGGGAGAGGGTTAGGTGAGCGTATTCTGTAAAAAAAACATTTAGTGTGATGCAGGAGAAAGTCTCACCTTCACCCATTTCTGACACAGAGAAGTGCAGGCGTCCGCCATAGTGGTGTCATACCTGCAGACAAAAAGCCCAAGTTTTAATGAAATCATTCAAAACACACACACACACGCACACACACGCACACACACACACACACACACACACAATATGAAAACAAGTGCTCCAGTGCTCACTGTGGTCTGACGGGGGCCATTCCTGGAGTGTGCATCCATGCATTCCAGTCCACTTTATTCAAGATGTCCACCTGATAAAGAGCAAGCAAAATTTTACACAGTGCACGCTTTTTAAAAATATTTAGCAGCAAATGTATAATACACAAATAAAAATAAAAAGTAAATGAACAGTTTTCTGTATTTTGAAAATAATTATGCATTATGAGATTGATCTTTTCTCGGACAACTTTAGATTTTGAAAATCTTCTTTTTAAATGACTTTTATTGACGTTTTTAATAGATTAAAGTGATGTATTGTCTGGGTTGGTGATGCAAATTACTATACCATAACCTGGTAATAAACTACTACTACTTTTTTTTATTATTGTACGCACCTAATTCTCTATATATTCAGTCTTATACATTAGATTGCTTCAAACTACACGGTGCAAAAAGCACGGTCACACACAATTTATTCATATTGTCCCAATACAAAAAAAGTTAACACATTTAAGTGGTATGAACATAAAACAATTAAGTTGTCCCAAAAAAAAACATTAGAATTGTGCTGTTTCAACCTATTCTGAATGCATATTTTAAACAAGTTGCAAAATGAGTGTACTAAAAAAAATAAAAAAAATAAGTGTCACTTTTTTTTCTAAACTGCAGTTTTTAAATGCAATTAATAAGCGTAAATAAACAGGGACAAAAACAAACAGTCATGAAAATACAGAGACTGTTTATCATTAGATATGTTTTACAGCGTGTGCATGCGTATTCCTATTTCAGAAAGCATTACCAGGCATCTTAGACACAAATAATTATGCATGTATTATATATTTAAAGTATAAGTTCTCACCTTGTCTTTAAAGTAAGTGAACAGATAGTTCTTCCATTCCTCTGTTGTTACACTGCCGTAGGCAAACAGCTGAATGTAGGACTTCACGAATCCCATGAAAACCTCTAGAATTAAAGACAGGGAGATTTGTATTTCCGAAAGTTTTAAGTAAACATTTGAATGAAGCATCCTGAAGCATTGCATTCATCTCAAGACAAAAGAATTTCTCTAAATATATCTTAGCCTATACATTCATTATACTTTACTTAACCTGCCAGTTGTCCGAATAAATGTATGCTTAAATAAATGTAAACATGAAAACAAATAATGGAAGCCAGTGTGTATTTGTTTATTAATTTTATTATTTTAACAGGGTTTCTGCAGGGTCTTAAAAAGTCTTAAATCTCAAAATCCAAATTTTAGGCCTTAAAAAAAAAGTCCTAAATTTACTGAAATATTGTGTTGTGGGTCTTAAATCTTTTTAAACGGGTCTTAATTTTTCTTTGTTCATGTATTGCTACCAAATCTGGCCAAAACCTATACAATTACCAGCAATCATCTCAATACAACTTGAAGCTTTTTTATTTAAAAAGGTCATTTTTAACTCTATTTTATTTAATTATATTCCTCACAATAACATTTGTTCAAAAGTTTTCCATGTATTTTCTTCTGAGGACATTGACCTGGACCTACTGTTGTGCATAGATTTAGTCTTTTTAAAACTTTTAAAACATTTGTTCAATTTTTAATGTTAAAAAAAAGTGTATAGATACAAGTAAAGCTTGCTTGTTTTTACACAATATTTAAAACATTTAGCTAGGAAATAAAATCTTAAATATTTAAATTGTTTATTATTAATGTATTATTGCTTTATTACATGTGTTAAATTAAAAAGACTTTTTGACAGGTCAAATAAAAATATTTTCCATCTGGGCCATTTGAAAAATTCCTCAGCCTTTAGCACTTTAATTAGAGTCTAAAATTTAATTCATAATGGTCTTAAATTTAACTCTGTGAAACCTGCAGAAACCATGTTTTAAATTTCGCAAAATTGTTCTGATCTATAATAAAGCAACAACTGTAACTGAATTTTCTACAGTTGAGATCTTTGATATAAATCGTGCATTGTATATTTTAAAATAATTACACTTAAATAATAATTAATTCCAATTAAATAATACATAAATAAAACCAAGTCCTTTATTTGCGCAGCAAAATTACGAACATTTCAAACACTGCGCAACAGAAATGTTTTGATACCTGCAGTGTTTACACTCATTTAAAACAGTATTCAAAAGTTTAGTGTTTATACCTGGGCCTCCCATCAGTTCCTCCAGATGATAAAGCAGAGCAAATCCCTTCTCATAGGGCACTGAGGAAAAGGCTTCATCTGTGTCCACCTCATGCAGATTTGGGACCAGGTTTGTGAGGACATTATTTGCTCCAAACTGTTTCACCTACAAAGCAATATAACAATGACTTCGAATGGTATAATCAGACGTCACCAAATGAAGATTTTTGCATTCACACAGGGCGTCAGCGTCAACGCTACCCATTCACTTTGAATGGATGATGTCAGGCGTTGCCGAACTGCATTGTGGATCCTTCGGCGCTGCTTCAGGGGCGTTGCTCGCTGCAGAAGTTGGGACTAGCTCAACTTTTCAAGCACCGACGGAAGCGTCAGCCAATCAGATCGCTGTATGCAAATACACCAGCTAGACAGTGGCCTATTGCTGACTGAATTTCATTGGCTGACACTGCTATTATGATCGTGTTAGCCTCAACTTCAGACACGCCTTCAGTCAATCATTGACGCTGAAGCCCAGTGTTAATGGGGCGTAAAGGTTATTGCTCACTGTATCCAAAATTTTCATATGTCATTTTGATGCATTTAAAAATAATTAAAAATACAACTGTATTCACACAAGTACAGTATATGCCCACATGTGCATGCAAACAAACTAGCACACACACACAAAAATGCATGGTCATACATGAATACACACACATGCATACACACACACACACACACACCCACACAAACAAACAATCACGGTCACACATAAATACTGTACACACACACATGCAAATACACAAATGCACACACATACACACACACACATAAGCTTGCACACTCAAACACACACACGCACACAGACACAAAAAGTAAGTACTGTCCCATAACCAGAGTGTGGCGTGATGGTGCAATATTTGGGTCTGTGTTTCTAAAAGTGTTCATGTACTCCCTCCGCAATTAGAATCCATCATAAAACAAAATAAATAAATAGAATCGGGTTCAATTTTTTTTTTTTTTTTGCATCCAAAAAGGTATTTTGAGAGGTGTTTTGACAATTCAGGGCCGCCATACAAACAAATTGCAATTAATATGCATCAAACTTCAACAAATGTTTTGTATCTGAATACGAACAAAAAAAAAAAAAAAACACATGCTAAAATTTCAGACTTCAGTGTGCAAAGACCTAATGGTTGCATAATCCAAAGTGCATGCCTTCTCAAGCAACCTATTTTCTCCATCATGAGAGTTTGAGTCAGCAGATCAAAATGACGCTCATGTGGGAGATCTGCATTTGCATATTCAGAGAATGCATGATAATATGTCACTTACAGACTCATGAAGTTCTTTCCATCCTCCAATGCCTTTAAACTGCCTGAGCTGCTCACCCTCCATACACCTGGCTATCATTCTCTCGATATACACCGTATGACCTTCATTTAGCCTGCAGAGAAAGAGTTCAGCCAGAGCTTCATATATCAGAGAAAACAGAACATTTCTGGATCGTTTGAAGAATATAGAGGTGTGTGATATCGATGAAGCCTATTAGAATGTAGATGCAAATCACCAGTCAAGTCATGAGAGCTGAGAAAAAATCAAATATTAGTTCAGACCAGATGATATATATATATTATACTATCAGAAATGTAATGTTGATTTTGTAAAAAAAACAAAAAAAAAACATGTTCAGCAAAGAGGAAGTCAGTATTGCGCGAGTTATATTTTAGACACAATATTTCCATTAGAATTAAAGACCACAAAAAACTGTAAACTTTCACTCTCTGAATGTGTGAAAGCATCTAGTAAAATGCAGAAGTCTTCAAACGCACAAAATAATGCATATAACGTATGATGACAGGAAATTAGATGAATCAATATACTATATAGATTTAATTAAGTAACTTCAAGCAAAATATGCCAGCATGTTATATTATTATATAATATTGATTATTAAGTTTAGCAAACAAGAAGTCAAGTTGTGGTCACATTGCATTCTTCACCCCATTGAGTTCCATTCATATGCATGTGAATGCGACAGACTGGAAACGCAAGCTCGTGCGACAAGTTTTGCAGTTTGCAAAGTTCAAGCTTGGTGAACTCTGACCTGCTAAATCGCATCACGAGATTGTATGACACCGATAGAAGATCAAAACATAACCTCTCTGTACAGAAATGTTAAATATGGACCAATAGCTTGCTTTCTTTAATGTCTAATCATCTTGTTTAAATCACACCCCTTTTTACATCATCATACGACAGGATTTTGCATGCCCAAACTCTAGTGTGACTGCGGCATTAATACTGAGTAAGTTACATTTTAAACACAATATTTCTGTTAGAGTTGAAAGACCACAAATTAACCAATTAATCAATAAATAAACAAATGACATTTTGTCAATATTGCACACTCCTCAAACAATCATTAAAACCAAAAGACGCCTCTTTTGCATATTCTGATATTAAATTAAGTATATATTAAATATTAAATAAAAGCTTAAAGAGTTGGACTGACCAGAAATGCTCCCAAGTCCTGTTGGTCACCAGGTTTCCTGTCCAGCTGTGGGAAATCTCATGAGCAATGACCTGCAGAAAAACAAAAAGAATAAAATATTGTGCATATACAGCAGATACATGGTCTAAAACAAATATGCATTAGGTAAAAAAAAAAACATGTGACTTACACCAGCAAGAGATCTGTCTCCAGCCTGTAAATAGACACAATGATCATTTAAAAAAAATCTATATGCTAATTAACATAAAAAAACAAAAAAAACAACAACAATAAAAAAACAAATTCACACAAAATGTAAATTCACTAAATAAATATGCATTGCATTATACAGAAATAAATCGTGAAATATATAACACCCTTCAAAATTTTTCTGCTCACCAATGCTGCACTAATTTGAAAACAAATATTGCAAAAGCAGCAATGTTCTGATATGTTAGTACAATTTTCAAATAAATATTTTAAATACATTTTAAGATGTAGCTAAGGCATTTTTATTGCATCTTTTTATTAACATTTAACTATTAATCACAAAACACTTGAAAACAAACCAACAGAAAAATGCCCATTTTAACAATGTTAAAGGAAGACAAAATAAATTATATATAGTCATGCTTAAATATTTATTATAAATAAATTATAGTAATAATTAAAATGTATAATAATAATAGTAATTAATATCTGTGATGCAATGCTACATTTTCAGCATCCCTTCTCTGCAGTGTCACGTGATCCTTCAGAAATGGCTGTATTAAGCTGGCTTGATGATCAAGAAATATTAGTTATGAAAGCAGAGTTAATTTAATACCAGACTAATATTTGTTGCTTTTTAACCTTCCCTGAATTCAGATGATTATTTGAAAATGTAAATTTCATAACACAAATAAATCTACTGTCACTTCTTATTTATTTAAACGCCTCTTTGCTGAATAAAATATTTTCTTTCAAGATTAATGGGAAAAGGGAAGAAAATAAATGAAATGAAAATCACACTGGCATCAAACAATAGCGTGTAAACAGTTTTAACACCTAAAAACACCCGTGCAGTATTGGTTAATAGCTGTTACTTCCACTCTTTGAATGTGTGAATGCATCTACTAAAGGAAGAAGTCTTCAGAAGTACAAATGCACATAATATATGATGAAGGTGAAATTATATACGAACCAACACAGTTGGAGTGACAAATGTGAGGCAGGGGTTCTCCATGCCTCCATATGGGAAGGATGGAGGCAGAACCAGGACATCATACTGGCCCCAAACATATGGCCCTGCCAGACTCTCAGCCGTCTTTAACATGGTCTCAGTCTGATCAAGAGAAAGACTCGAGTTATCTTTCACACAAAATGCAAACTGTTTAGTTAGATGTATAAGAAAATAATGTGTTGATCACAATCTCTTCATGCATCTTGGGGGGAAAAAAATCAAACTTAAAATCTCACCTCTGCAAACTCATATGCAGCTTCATCCACATATTCCTTCTCAGACCAAACTCTAGACCTTGGGCCGATTTCCCTGATTTTTAAAAACAGTGATTAATAATTATGCCTGCATAGAAATCTTGGTTCTCTTTATATCTGCTATAGATGTGTTTTGGGCAGGCTGACATACTGGTGGCCATGGCTGGTGTGAATGTGATGAGTTTCTTTTTTTTTTTTTTTTTTCAAAATACTTCTCACATTATTTGATTATTATATTGAACATCAACACAATTCATAATAATATTAATGATGATGATAAAAACATTTGCATGCGCACCACATTGCAAAACATAAAAGAAAAAACGTTTCCAATCATGCGAACAGTAAAGTTTACATCTTTAAATTTATTTTGCTGTACGTTTAATTGGGTGGTTTCATTTTAATGTTTGTAATTATATATTTTTTCTTAAGCAAAAAATAAATAAATAGTATTTTTTATTTAATTTACTTTTCTCAATTAATCAACTAACATCTTTACTCATTTGTTTAACCAAAAGTTTCTATTAATATAAATTATAATAAAAATAGTATATTTCACTTGTTTTTTATTTAAATACATTCTTCCTTTTTTAAAACTTAATTTACCTTTTTATTCTAACATTTTATTTATACTGTGCCATTATCCTTAACATTTTTTCTCTTTTTTTTTCAACCAAATGTTTTCAGTAATATAAATGAATTTTTTCACTTGTTTTCTTTTATTTAAATAAATTGTTTTTCTTTTTTTTAAACTTAATTTAACTTTTTTCATTTGAACTTTATTCATACTGTGCCTTAATTGATGAACTAACATCTTTACTCATTTGTTTAACCAAATGTTTTATAAATCTAAATTATAATAAAAATTTGTATATTTCACTTGTTTTTAATTTAAATACATTCTTATGTTTTAAAACTTAATTTAACTTTTTATTCTATCCTATTTATACTGTGCCATTATCCTTAACTGATCAATTAACATCTTTACTCGTTTTTTTCAACCAAATATTTTCAGTCATTTAAATGATATTAAAAGTTTGGATATACACTTGTTTTCTTTTATTTAAATGAAATGTCTTTCTTTTTTTTTTTACTTAATTTAACTTTTTTTATTTGAACTTCACTGTGCCATTATCCTTAATTGATGAACTAACATCTTTTTTTTTTCAAACAAATGTTTTCAATAATTTTAATTATTATAAAATGTAGTGCATTCACTTGTTTTTTATATACATTTTAAAGTACAAAATTACTATGCTGTTTCATTTTTACATAACATGTTTTGTTACATGCAACAATAATAAAATGATATTTTTATTTTTACTTTCCAATAAAATATTTAAATGTTTTCATAAAATGCACATTTGTCAATTTAAATCAGTCTGGTCGACAAACTAGAATCTTATATTTGACCAATAAAAACATTTACAAAAAAAAATTTAAAAATCTACAATTTCAATAATACTAAAAATAACACTCATTGTGACAAATAAAGAAAGCACAACAGAAGGATCACCTGCTTTCCAAAGCACCAACTACAATGGCGATAAGGTAAGAAGGCATGGGGACCTGCAAGAAAGAAAATAACAAGTGTCTTTCTGTTTTTTCAGATATGGATTTTTGACAGACAGATTCGTTGGAATCCAACAGAACGAGGACGAAACACTGACCGGCTGTCTGAAGCGATAGATGACTCTGCTGCTGTCACTTGGATCTGGTTCCTGCCCATCTCGCAATGCACTCATCAATGCCACCAGCTCTCTCGGGACAGAAACCTTACACAAGGTAAAAAACACCAGAGTTACCGGCAGAACAACTGTGTAGATTTTAATTAGCATGCCTTTGCTTTCACTTTAGATTACTTATCTTGGTGAGCACTTCTTTGCTGCTTCACTGAGAGTACAATTAGTACTTTGAGCTATTCGTGCATGTTACCTGGGCATAGTAAGTGTGCTTCACTGATGGAGTGTCCTGGCAAGGCACCATGGTCCTGCAATGAGTGGCCTGTTTTAAATAGAGGAGCTCAGGGTTAAAGGAAAACATCAAGAGAAAAATTAAAACAAATGTGCAATGGTTTAATGTTTGAGGGCAAAATTATTAGCCCTCCTGTGAAATATGCATTAATTTTCTCAACTGATTTCTGATATTTAATGAAGCAAGGAATTTTTCACAGTATGTCTGTTTTGTTTCTGGAGAAAGTCTTTTTTTTTTTGGCTAAATAAAAGCAGTTTTTAATTTTTTAAAACCATTTTATGGTGAATATTATTAGTCCTGTTAAGAGATATCTAATATCTTGAAAAATATCTTCTCATGGCATTATGTCATCATGACAAATATAATAGTTTTAATAACTCATTTCTAATAACTGATTAGTTTTATGTGTAGAAATGTGTTGAAAAATAATCTTTCCATTAAACAGAAATTAGGGAAAATGTATAAAAAAATTACAATTTCACAGGAGGGCTAATAGTTTTCACTTTAGCAGGTTGAGATAATGTATATCTGGAATAGATTTGTTTAACGTCATGCATGGGGTTTTTGCTGGTTTTATAAAAACAAATGTCATTTTTGTTTGCTGTTTAGATGCAGTAAAAGCAAATATGTATATAAATAATAATAAAAACAAACAAACATACATACAAACTTTTTAGTAAAGGAACAAAACTTTGCAAAAAAAATTAAGTTTCTCACAACAAATATTTACCCTCAGATTTCTTTAAAATTAAAGTCATAACCCTAAAAAAACAGGACGAAACTACTTAAGTTTTATTATTATTATTATTATTATTATAACAGCTCTGGGATGAGCTTTTTTAAATAAATGGTTTGAAATGAATGCTTATCCGATTCATCGATTAAACAAAAAAAATAACAGACAGATTATTCGATAATTAAAAAAATCGTTAGTTGCAGCCCTACAACATTTATTGCCCTGGGATTAGAGATCTTTTAATGCATTCATTTGCAGAATGTAGTAAATTAATGCAATTTAATGGCACACTTATTGTTTGTTCATCAATTGAAAACAGCTCTAAAAGTCAGGGGACTAAAAAAAACCCTAAAGACGTAATCTAACACTTAATAGTGAGAAGTCTCAAATGGTTTACTTTCGCTGCTCGTCTACCAATAACAAAGTCCGATGGGTTGTGAAACACAGCAGCTCTTGATAGACAGCTTCTTACAGAGAGTTTGTGATAAACTTGTGAAGCAGAACAACTGTGCAACACTGTGGTTTGTATTGCAAGACTGCAGAAAAGATGATACTTTTAGGGAAATTGCAGCCGTGCCGCACGTCTCTGCATGCGCACGCAGTTCAGTTGGTGGTGGATGGTGATGAAAATACCTGGCATTGGCTGAAAAGGTATGGATGTTTTTTCCCAGCAGTCTGTTTGGGTGTTAACCATTGAAGAGCAGTGGCAGTAGGAGACGTCTCATATTCGATCTCCACAATCACATGCTGACCGCTAAAACACACAAACAGATGAAGTTGATATAACTTTAAACAAATGGAAAATTAAGCACTCAAATTAAAGGGATAGTTCACCCACAAATTATAATTCTCTCATCATTTATTATTTGATTATAATAATACGATACGTCAGACTTATTATATATATATGACTTTAATAATTATATGACTTTAATAATTAGCAAATAAAGCCCTGTTTTTGGCCCAAGTATTAATTTCCTACTGAGAAACTGGTGCAAATCATCTAGAAAAATGATTCAGGAAGTTGCTTCATCTAGAAAAACAACTGTAGCTATTTTGTCCTACATAATACATTATTTTAAGTGACTTCACACAAGACATTTTAACTAAAAAATGCTGTCAACTTATTATATATTTAGTTTAATACGTGGTGTTTAAGTGCACAATAGTGTAAGTGGATTCTGTGAGATGAACCAAAACCCTTTTGATCAAACTTTGGCTGTTTTTTCCCTCTCTTTTTGCACATTAGAGAATTTAATCATAAATAATTAAATGATTTAAGCAGTTCAACGTTGTGGTTTGTATTACAAGATTACACAAATGATAATATTTCAAGGAAACTGCACATTTCCATTGTTTATTTGCACGTCTTCTTGTGACATACAAATCCATTTGCCTCAATTAGGCTCACACGCTAAGATTTTATGCACATTTTTTATTTTTCCATCTTGTGTTTTTTTTCTTGTGATATCCCCAAATATGCATTAAATTATGTAGATTTCAACAAGCCAAATGAGAAAATGGCTAATTGCTCAAATAAATAAAAATAAATAAATACAATTTAATTCTTTAAAAGGAGGAACCAAAAATATATTTCTTACATTTAAACTAAATACACTAAATTGCATAGTTTTTTTTGTCCATTTAAGAAACTTGTGACTATTTAATGGAAAGATCACCATTTCATAATAATAACAACTTCATAAATCAATGAGAGACAATATAAAAACACTTCTTAACATTAAAATCTACATTAAAAACATGATTTTTTTATGTCCATATATGACAAGAAACTTCATGGAGAGAAAACTAAAAGATCCTTCAAACTACTCTCAATATAAAATCCTTAGTTTGGTAGTCTTTACAATTTCACATTCAAACGAAATATTTTTATAATGAGAGAGGCTTCAGCTTTTTATATTAAAAAGTATTTATTTTTGCAACTTTTTTTTTTCTTTTTGAGAAACTCCTCACGTTAGATTTATTCAGATTTAGCTCACTGGATTGGAATTAGTGTTGTTCTGAAAGTATCTATCAGTCTATGTTGTGTCTCAAGGCACATTCACATTGGCAGTGAATTAATTGCATATCAGAAAAAACTGAAATGCTTGAGAAAGAAAGCAAACATCTCTTCAGAAACAATAAGTCTGCATCAGTACCGTGAGAGTTCAAAAGGCAGGGTGATTTCCAAAGGGGATCCCTTAAATTTATGCTTGGCTCCAAGTTCAAACTTTGCAGCTTGGCCATTCGCAGACACCTTAGAGATCTTCAGGTCCTTAGAGTCCAGGGTCTAGAAAAAGAGAAACTAAATTTTAATAACAAACTACCTGCTGTCTCCTTGCATAATACTAAAATTACATGACTTTGACTTATCACATATTATATTATATTATATTATATTATATTATATTATATTATATTATATTATATTATATTATATTATAAATTTTCTTTCAGGCTTAGTCCCTTTATCAATCAGGGGTCAACACAGCGGAATGAACCACAAACATATCCAGCATATGTTTTACGCAGAGGATGCCCTCCCAGCTGCAACCCATCACTGGGAAACACCCATACACTTCCATTTACCTATCCAGCCTATCCAATTCACCTATAGCACATGTCTTTGGACTTGTGGGAGAAACCGAAGCACCTGGAGGAAAACCACACCAACACGGGGAGAAACTCCAAACAGAAATGCCATCTGGCCAAGCTGAGGCTCGAACCAGCAACCTTCTTGCTGTGAGGCGAGAGCGCTACCCACTGTGCCACCATGCTGCCTATATAATATTATATTATCTTTATTAACTGTAAAAAACGATGACAAATTCATGACATTAAAATAAGTTGCAGTAACATAAAAATATTCACGTTAAAATGGTTGAAACAATTTTTTTGTTGTTATAAAAGGTTTAACTTAACATTTTTAGTCACTTTGACTGATGATCACTAGAAATTATATACGAGATCACTCGACATTTTCACTTGATTTACCTTAAAAATGTAAGGCGGTAAGATTTTTTTGTGTTGGGTAAGTTACTTTTCACAAATGATGTCAACAAAATTGTATTTAAATTACTTTTCTAATTATTTCCAGAAAGATTGTTTTTTTTTTTTATATTATTTATTTATTTATTTTTTTATTTTTTTATTTTTACGTCAATTTGTGATATATTATTTACAGGATATACAAGAGTTGTTTTATTTAAGAAGAGAAATAAATCTGCTTATTTTCCACTTATAATATGAAGAACATTGAAAATATATATATTTTCCAAAGTGCAAGTTATCCATTTATTTACAATATTTACATATTTTACATTTACATTTTTTTTAAGAAGCTTGTGCAGTTAGTTACAAGTAAAACATTCATTAGTTGACAAACTTCATATTCAAAATGTATAAATAATAAAAGAACACATAACTACTCTAAAATTATAATTACTCTGCTTCTCTGAATTTATACTGTATTGGCATTAAATCCATTCTTAATTGCATGTACAGTTGTCACCACAAATTATTCTTCAAAATAAATGAGCAGTTTCAGCGTTATGGATGTGACATTTGCAGTAAAAACTCAAAACATAATTTCACATAGAAAGTATGTTACCGATATATTTAAACATCAGCTTATATTTTCCAGAACAACTGACCAGAGTTATAGGACCAGAAAAATATTAATCTGTAAACATGTTCTGTACTTTAAATTAGGAAAATAAACATGCGTTAAGGATGTGACAAAAAAAAGTCTGCGGGTTTACAGTATACAACATACTTTGAAGAAATTCTGTGAATTAAACTGCACAATCCAAAAGAAACAATAATAATCAAAAGGATAAGAGTTGGCTCTCTATAAAACATCAATGATTGGGTTTATTTTATTGAACATTTTCACTTTTATGAGGAAAAAGTGTCGTTATGGATGTGACGTCTCTCCGTCATGGATGTGACAGATGTGAAATTGCCACTTGTATGACTTTGGTAAATCAAATAGAATAGTTTGAAAACATTGACAGATGCATTGTTGAGTATTTCTTAAGATAGAGGTAAAGTTGGTTTTATATTCACACATTAGTTTATTTAGAAGTCTCTGTATTGTTTACCATGTTACTTTGAATATTCAATTGAAATTAGCATGCAAGTGTGACTTGAAAACAACATTTACACTGTTTATTTGACTGTGAACAATGTTGTACTTTAATAGTCATTGGCTGCTAATATGATTTCACTATTTAGAGTTTGCAAATAATACTTTTATGAAATTATATTATTAAAGGGAAAGTCTGAATGTGCAAATATAAAACCAACTTTACCTCTATTTTCTTAAGTACTGTAAAATACTTGCTAACCCAAAAAACCCAGAAACGACTTCCGTATTTTTGTGAAAACTTAATTTTTTTATGACAAGGTTGACATTTGCACGCAATTACTCATATACTACTCTGCGTGCCTGAATTGATTTATATACAACTGTTTAATGTATATACAGTATTTAATGCAAGTATATTTAGGTAACTCCAATTAAATAATCTAAAAGTGACATGCAATCCCTTACTTTTCCAGCAGAAATATAATTATAGTAATTAGTTACTTGGTAAATACTTACACCCAACAAATTATAACTAAACAAACTTTACATTTATCTGAGAGCTTCAGTCAAATCTGTTAAACTCAGGTAAAAAGTCCATCAATATAATGTGGCAGATGCTAAACTCAAAGTTCAGGTGCAGTAAAACCACAGTACGTGACTAATAAACCCCATTAATGACGATAAAGATGCAATATAACAATCAAATCACTGCTCGTGCTGTTGCAAAAAGATGATGGTCATATTAAAGTATCAGATTCATAAACAATACAAAACGAAAACCCTCCAGGTCATCATATTACACTGCTGATATTATCATTACAGTATCACATTCGTGTAAATAAGTAACACGATCCTGATCAATCTAGCATTACTAGTATGATTGACTAGGCTATTTCTAAATAATCAACTCTAGCGATCTTAATTTGACTATTACTCAACTTGATTAGATTCTAGCACCTTATCAAAGTGACAAATAGATCATAAAAGCATACAGTGCATTGGATCGTACTCATTCAATATGTGTACTTGAGATGTATTGATTAAGGCAAGCAAACACGATGACAGCTTTTGATAAATCCGATGAAAAAAAAACTGTACCAGAGAAGAGAATTTATCCTCCAGGACCTCCACAGTCAGGGCGACTTTCCCTTTGAGCACATGCCTGTCAAAGTCGACATGGTAAATGAGGTTTAAGTGCTTGGTAGAGCACTTGGAGAGCGAGGAGAAGGAGCTAGGGTCTGAAACTGGAGTCATGGTTGAGCAGAGAGCACTCGGCTCGCGCTGCGAATGGATTTTAACCTACACGCATGTCACGTGACGCCGGCAGGGTGAACGGCATCATGGGAGTTGTAGTTGTGCTTTCTTCTCAGTGAGAACGATGAGTTGTTACCGTCCTCTTGTGGCTGAGGGTGTTTGTGCATGTTTAAAACCTAAACAGCGGAGCTCATGTAGTATGTTGGGATTTTGAGCATCAAAAAAAGAGTGCATTACAGATTTTTATTCTTATAAACATTTGTTTTCTATTCTGAGTAAAATATTATGACCTATAGGTAGGCCCACACAGAATCTGTTTAGTTTATTTAAGTTTATTTACTTGAGTAAATGTGTGTAAATCGATATTTATTTAGTTTTTAAACTAATTACAGTAATGCTATTGGCTAATATGCAAATGTCGATCTGATTTATGTACAATGCAGTTTGTAAAGTAATATTTTCTGTCTTTTAGTTGATATATTATATGAGAGACTTGCTTTGTTTACCAAATAAAGTGGATCTAATTGGATTTGCATTTTAAACATTGAATAAAAGTTGAAAAATATTTTTTTATTTCATATATTAAGGTTTTAGTTATGATACATCCAAAATATTTCTGCAGAAATCTGCAGATTTGTACCAAAATTATCCGCAGAAATAGCAAAAAATGTCAACAGATGCCGTCTCGCCCTACCTATAGGCTACTCATAGGTTTATAGGCTACTTTTTTAACATGATTTACAAAACACACATAGTAAAATTGCAGTTTATGTAACTAAGTTGTCAGGCATATTTAGAACAAAACTGTTTTGATTGCATTAACATATTGTACAAACTATCATATTTTGATGACAAATAATCATCAAAATAATCATCAAAACAGAACAACAAGTTCCATGTGTTGTGTCGGCTTTTTAAAGCATCAAATAAGGTTTATTTAGCAAATATAAAAAAAAAATATATATATATATATATTATATATATATATAAGATTTAATATTTTATGTAATATATAATAAATACATAATATACATATAATTAAATATTCTATATTTATATATAGAAAGATAATATATAATATAATACATTTTTAAATACAATATAATACATTTTTTTAAATATTGTTAAACTTTTTACCATGATTTACAAAAACATGTAGTAAAATTGCATTTAGTTTAGCGTTTGTAGGAGTTGTCAGGTATATTTAGAAGTAAAACAAACATATTTGATGGCATATTAAGAGATAGTTCACGGTGCAGTTGACAAATTAACTCATATTTTAATGAAGATCGAAATGTAATAAATATATATATATATAGATATATAAATGAATTACAATAGTTTAATAGTGGTGCAATGAAACATTACCAAGTCACAATGTCATATTGTAACATTGTTATATTATAGAATTCAGTTTTCATTTTACAACAATTATTCATTCATTCATTTTCTTTTCGACTTAGTCCCTTTATTAATCTGGGGTCGCCACAGTGGAATGAACCGCCAATTTATCAGGCATATGTTTTACACAGCGGATGCCCTTCCAGCTGCAACCCATCTCTGGGAAACAACCATACACACTCATTCACACTCATACACTACGGACAATTTAGTTTACCCAATTCACCTGTACCACATGTCTTTGAACTGTGGGGGAAATCGGAGCACCCGGAGGAAACTCACGCAAACGCGGGGAGAACATGCAAACTCCACACAGAAACCCCAACTGACCCAGCAGAGGCTCGAACCAGCAACCTTCTTGCTGTGAGGCGACAGCACTACCTACTGCACCACCGCGTCACCCTTTACAACAATTAATCTTCTATCATCATCCATCATCATAATGAACAATATTTTCTTTGACAGTTTTACTTCTATTATGATTTATTTTCATATTGATAAATATAAATAGTATACTAAAATTATCTTTTATTATTATTATTAATTAAATATATATTCTATACCCTAATTCAGCTTCTGTTATTATTAGGTTATTATTATTTTAATGTAGATTGCCAGATTTTTTTTAACTGTCATTTGTTTTTCCTCCACTAGATGGCAGATTATGAACAGACATTATAAAGAATCTCTGAGATCATAATTGTTTTCATATGCCTCTTAAAAACCCAGCATGTGAGCATCTCAAGTGGATCAATTCAGGACTAATCATTAAGATCAGCACTCTATTAGAGCACATTAAAATACAACAGAATTGTGTTGAAGAGGTTAAGAGAGAATTCTCATCATCTGAATGTGTGTTTTGAAGGATCCGGCTTCCTGTCAGTGGATTTCCCTCCAGGAAATCGGAAGATGGTTCCACCCCCCTGTGGAGCCTCATGCCACTCACTTACTGACAAAGATTTGTTTTTAAGTCATGCAGATATTATAGTAGACTTCTGTATACCTTTTATTATTTTAAGACAGTGGTTCTCAAACTGTGGTGGGACACGGGCTTACTTCTACTGGTCTGCAGAGGATCAATTCTGTCATAAGTACATGCTACATATTTAAAAATTTATCAAAAATGATTTATATATGAACGTTTTTACATATAGCATATATTTCCGAGGTCCAGGCAATATTATCAGGTGTTGATGAATTGGCCACTATATTTAAAAACATTTAAGTACAGCAGTTTTATTATCATTTTTTTTTTTTTACTTTTTAAGAACAGAACGCTAACATTTTTAACTTTTAAAAGCACAATTTAATATAAATGTTGACGTTATTAGTTTGTTTGTGTGTTTGTTTTACATATAAGCAAAGCACAGTGTTAATGTTCAGATTATTTATAATGTTAAAAGTGGCCGATAATAATAAATATTCTTAATAATAGGAAATAATCTACCACGTTTACGAACTGTACAGAGCTGTAGCTTCTTTACTGCACTAATTACTTTACTGTATTTCAATACTGCTCATTATAGTGGTGCTTGGAGAGACATTTGTTTTCTGAGGTGGTTTATTCATTTTCTTGTCAGCTTAGTCCCTTTATTAATCCGGGGTCGCCACAGTGGAATGAACCAACAACTCATCCAGCATGTTTTTACACAGCGAATGCCCTTCCCACAACCCATCTCTGAGAAACATCCACACACACACACACACACACTCATACAGTAGACAATTTAGCCTACCTGTACTGCATGTCTTTGGACTGTGGGGGAAGCCTGAGCACCCGGAGGAAACCCAAGCGAACGCAGGGAGAACATGCAAACTCCACACAGAAACGCCAACTGACCGTAGGCTTTAACCAGTGACCTTCTTGCTGTGAGGCGACAGCACTACCTACTGCGCCACTGCTTCGTCCTTTTTAAGGTGGTACTTGATGATAAAGGTTTGAGAACCACGTCTATTTATCTATCATCCGTCTGGCTATTTAACTATCTATTCATCTGTCTGTCTGTCTATCTTTCATCCATATCATCCATCCATCCATCCATCCATCCATCTATCTATCTATCTATCTATCTATCTATCTATCTATCTATCTATCTATCTATCTATCTATCTATCTATCTATCTATCTATCTATCTATCTATCATCTATCTATGTCTGTCTGTCTGTCCGTCTGTCTATCTATTTATCAAAACAAATGTATAGTAAATATGCAAAGAAAATGCAAAATATGCACAATTGTTTAAAAAAAAAAATAATATCAAATATAAAATTAATTAAATTAACATTGAAGTTCCGACAACTAACCTTTTTCTGTTTTGAAAACAACATCAAATGCCACAGTAAATTAATAACAAATAAAATACGGTCGCCTACACGGAAAAAGCCATGCACCTTCACTGAAAAAAAAAAGATTCATTGGATTTCCTTTTGTTTTTAGCTAAGTGGTTGCAAACAATTTATATGGGCTGAAATTAAACAAATTAAGTTGAACATTACTAAAAAATAGTTTGTTTAAATGCAACCCAAACCAACTGTGTGCAACCACTTACCTTAAAACTCCAATGGATCATCCTTTCAGTGTTCTTCATAGGATGACCTACTTATTTTTTTTTTCCACACAGTTTTTTCCAGGGTTAATAAAGTAAGGGGGACATTTTCTAGCAATCTGATCACCAAGCGTTAGAAATCACACACATACACACACACACACACATACACCGCAAAATGTGTGCGAAGGAAGGAACACGGGCTCCTCCCGGCGGGTCCCGGGCAGGAAGAGGGTGACGTCAGTGCGCTCCTCTCGCTGCAGATTCGGGTTACAGTATAGCCTATGCTGAGTGTGTGTGTATGTGTGTGTGCGTCCGCATCCGCGTGTGTGCTCGTGTTCCTGAATGTCGGATGGTGGCTAGAGGAGGAAAAGCGTGTTTACACAGACGGGCCGAGCGCCTGGGGAATCGCGCACGGCGAGAGGAAGTGAGCCGGCTCGCTGTCTGCCTGCTGCAACTTCCTGCTCACAGAGAGAGAGAGAGAAAGAGTGAGTGAGTGAGAGAGAGAGAGAAAACAGTCGGGATCCCATTACAGTCCGACTGAGAGCTGCCGAGACGGCCGACAGCATGGAAAAACAGCGCATTATACGGAATTCTTATTAATAAAGTGAAAAGGGAGCCCGAGCATTACGCAGAGGTACGTGAATAACCCATTCGCGCTATCCGATCGCTTTTTACGCGTTTTAAAAATGTACTATTGATTCACAATAACAAGTAAAAGGAAGAGCGCTTTCAAAGTACAGGACTGAAACTTGATATCCAGAAAAAAAGAATGAAGCTTCCCTTATGCGGGAGTGTTTACAAGTGATGTTTAACACTTTGGGGTAACTGAATGGATCTGTTTTAGCGATAACAAACACCTCAAGTGTCCACCGTTCCCGTTACTCACGCGCAATTTACGCACGGTTTACGCACGACTGGGGAAAGTTTGAATACCTGTTGAGCTCACGATTTGGCGATGCGCGTTTCTAACATTTTCCTGGTCGCACATTCGGTGCTAGAAAGGCTCGAATTTGGCTACTGCCACTTTAAACGCACTAGTAGAGTTTCTGG